CCAGAGACGGATACCTGAACAAAATACGATGACCTCTGCCTGGCAAGCATATAGTCATCATCCCTGCAAACGACAGGGCGCTACGACAGGACGTGGACTGCAGCGCCGCTAGGCGGTCTACTTCCACCAATGATGCCATCCTGAGCCCGCTACAACTGGTGGAAAATCTTCCCTGGTTGCGCTCCAAGCCACGTCCCCGTCATACGCCCTACCGTTTGTAGGGAACGTGTTTGTTACAAGACTGAACAACTTACAGTTCCCTTAATATTTGGCGGCTTTCCCAGTTCTATCTTGCCTATAGTCCACTGAAGCAAATGTGATGACGGATCGAACGTACATTTCCCTTGTGAAGGCACCAGATTGCAGTTCAACACTGCTTTCGGCATTGACATCTCTACCACGACGTCTTCCAACTGAAACATGTTTGAAAAATGAGCAGACAAAGGTACTGTCAAAAATGAGCAGACAAAGGTACTGTCACGGTTGGGAGGGCCACGCGGCGGCGCGACTAATCGCGCTCCTCTACGCCTTTTCACAGTGACGGTGATCCATTCCCTTTCCAGACTTTCCAGACCGTGCCCTATGATTCTTAACAGTACCGCTATTTGAGACCACGAAAGGAAGAAGTCGTCTCGCTGCTGACGCTGGAGCGTGCCAGGGAGTTGTATTCGGCGCTACTCCAGCCCATTTTCCACCAACTGTTGTCGCTTGCGGCAACAGTTGGCGGATGACGGCTGGCGCGCGCCAAATCCACCCCTCTGACACGCCCCAGTATCACCAGCAAAAAGAATGTACACTATAAGGGTTCAAAACGGAGAAATGATCGGAACAATTGTTGAGGGGCTAGGCGGGGTGGGGGGGGAGAAGGCGAGAATGCGGCAGCGCGACTACACACATCATTCCAGCTTCTTCCCTTCGTGGTCTCAAATAGCGGGAAATTGATAGAAATGAACGAGTAGAGAACTGCCATAGCCGCACCGCCGGATGCCTCCTCCCCCTACGTTTGTCCCAAAAAAGGATTCAAATTCGGGTTTTGAGGTGGAAAAAAAGATGCCTCATAAGCTCGTAACACGCAGAAGTAGAAAACTACCGAATAGTAAAACACGTTATTGATGATGCTTCGCAGAAAATGAAACACTGACGTATTTGGGGGAGGGATGCCACTCCCCTACGCTTCTGCGTCCCTTTTGCTACGCTAAGGCTCAGCCTCACAGCACAAGCGGTCACAGTTGCGTGGAGAAAAGCCCGCAAAAAAGCATAAAGAGGTCCTGACGGTTTGCGTACTTAACCCAAGCCTTACGGAGGCGTTGTCGAATGTCATTTTTTTTCCTCATTTCGCAACATGCCTAACGTTCAGACTGAGTGCGCCTTATATTACTTGTCGCTCTTGCGAAGGTAAATACCTAGCTCTCAACTCGCTCCGCAGCAGTGTGAACGCTTCCAGCCCATGAGCAGTGTGAACGCTTCCACCAGCCCATGAGAGGGCGCGCTAAATGACACAGTCTTGTTCGCTGCAGAAGGCGGGCGTGTCAAGGGGAAAAGCACCAGTATCTGAATCGAACGATACTGTAGATACCCCAGAGAATATTGTTGTTATGGTATCAATACAACTGGTGCATAGTTTAGAAAAAACTGCCACTTAATCCAAAAGTTACAAAAACTCACGCATTTTGCCCATCTGCCTTGTTGTTTTGGTCCTCCAACCGTTCCAAAAAAATTTTTTCTCTCTAGACGACTTCCAGTTCCTCCTCTCAGCACTATGGAATGTCGAACGTAAATTGGTATAGCGACCATGCTGAAAGAAAAAAAAATAAAAAACATAAAAGAAAATAAAACCGTGCCCTTCGTTGCATAGTCACGAAGATGACCAGTATGTCAAAAGTCTCATGAAAACTAACTTTTGTGTAGCAATGTGATATGATAATAGCCGAAAGTTCCCATCAGGAGGCACAAATGATAGTACACGTTCGTTCTGGAGAGGAGATTACTTGAGTTTGTTGACGAAATAATCAAAAAAAAACACAAACCTCCCATCGCTTAAATCGGACACATGGATGAAAGGAGACGTCATCAAGAAGACGTGGATTGACAAGTGTCATGGTAAGATCTGGCATCCCCGACAATTTACAGCACACATCAATCTTAAAAACATCATAACAGATTCAAAGGCGATGGCAGTGGGCGGGCAGTTGTCGCCAACGTCATTGGTGGAAGGGATGAGTAAAGGTGTAGCCAAACGCCTTTTTGCAGCCCTTCTACCAATGACGTTGGCAACTACCACCCATCTCCAGCAATCGTGCCCATTGCCATTCAAGAGCAGTGAAAAAAAGACTAAATGGGTCGTTTCCCTGTAAAAGAAGATCAAATACTCAAAACTTACGTATCCCTGTATTTCGGCGAAAACTGTTGACCCTTGTCGATCAATAATTGCATCGATTTCTTCAATGACATCAAAATAGGCTTCGTTATTCGTATATTTCACACCTTGTCGCCGCCATGGTATATTTGACAGCTGACCAGTTGGTAGCGTTTCCGAATGGTTAGTCCGCCCAGTAACCTGAACCTTTCGACGTTTAAAGATAGACTGCACAGTGTTATTCGCAGAGACAGATGGGGCGTGTCAAGAGGGATGGGTTTGGGCGGTGACAGACCCGTTTTCAACAAGGAAGCGAGCAAGCGACAATACTGTATCATGTCGTACCTTACCAGCCGTTTTCCACCAACTGTTTTCGTTTACCCTCTTCAGCTGCTGGTGGAAAGCGAGTTGGCGGCGTGCCAAACCCAGCCACATTGACACGCCCCCCCCCCTCATTCGCAGCGAACAAGACGTGCGAGAGTTCCTATTGGTTCCTCTTCGTTTACAAGGTAAGTAGGTCCACAGCCACTGAATCGGCACCATTTTCGCGATTCAAAAGTGTATGGTAATTAAGTTCAAGGCTCTTGATCGCCATACGGCCACGTGTTGCGCTGTCTGCGCCCTTTCACGGAGGTATCGTTCGGTGGGTTTGATTAAGACCAATGGTACTCCTGCTGAGCAATTTCAATTGTGGGTCCGAAACGACTTTGAAACATACCTTACCAACCCTAAGCAGGTTCACCGAACACTATTTCGTAACAGAGCGCAGACGAACAGCGTGCATCACGTGGCCGTTAGGGCGTGAACAATGGTGGGCGGAGATACAAGGACACCAAGCTACCACAAACTACTAAATCACTGCCTGCAGCTTCAAGCGACGAAACTGCTACATTTCTTTCGCTACATACCTCCCCACTTTGTACTCAGGAAGGATTTACCTTTCAACCAATCAAACAATATTTTCTTACCAAAGTACCAGACTGTATCACTTGTACCCACCTGATTAGCAATATTTCTAAGGAAATTAGGTGGTTTGATGAGATCTTGGAGGATATTCAATTCGGTCACAAGGGGATATCCATTGTCGAGCATTTCGTCGAGCAGCTAAACTCCATAAGAGAAAATAATGTCAAGGATATAATAAATAAATCAAAAATCTAACCTCAAAAACCATCACACAGTTCTCTTTTATCGATGTGTCCGAGCACTCATCAAAATATTGCGAAAATGTGTGCACAACTCGATGAAGAAATTCGATCACCATCAAAGGAGGAACTGAAATCTTCTCTATCCACATCAGTAAAAAGTAGTGAAGAGTACACGTTAAAGAGCTCGACCTTAGAAAGAAGTTTCTATGAATAACTTTCTTTAACATATTTCTCAAAGGCACGCACTCCGTTCAAAAATGGAGGGACGGGCAAGAGAATCGTAATTTGCCGCTCCACCGCGCGCGGCGATGGCGCGGCGTTTTCTCAACTCGTGTTAACCTGTCGATGGAGCACCGGACTTCATGTAGACCCCGTCATCGTAGACATTCATGACTATTTTCGGTTCTGAATTGCCTGTTGTCGCCATCTACTACCTGGAACCATCGTCATTTGCGGGCGCGACGTCGCACGCGACGCCCACCAGCGGCGAGTTACGATTCTCTTGTCACATACCCAAAAATGGTGAGTTGTGCGGCTCAGTTTAACAATGATAGGACGACTAGTAACACAAATGTGAAGAAAAAAAAAGTAGAAGGAACCAATCCGAAATGCTCTTTACAAAACCTATGCAGAACAACGCTTTTACGTGCATGAGGTGAAAAGAGCGTGATCGGACGAGCTGTCACTTGTTAGTGCCATCTTCTCCTCCCTATTACCTCACTCTCACCAGCTGAGATGAGGGAGCTAGTAGCGGAACAAGCGCACCACCAGGATACCTTCGAAAATCAAAACTTCGCTTGCCGTGGCCAGTGGGCGGGAACGTGGCCTCCTCGCCAGCAGGTCTCGCCCCTCATGTATTTTTTTAGCTGCGAAAGCAGCACATCCTCCAAGCGGCAAAAAGCAAGCAAAACTACCATGCCCAAGGAAAGATTCTTTTGAATTTCAATCTTCGATAATTAGACCGGTTATGTTACACTACAATACAAATTGTGAAAATGATGCAGAAACGGGATTATTCAACTTAGTTTTTTTCTTGGCTAGCTATGTAGAATACAGAAAAAAAAACTTGAAACTAACAAGGGAACCCCAACAGGTCGATCCGGCCATTTGCAGTGAGATGTATAAATATGGACGTGTCTTGAGCCGCTGAATCCAAATCTGCCCTCCGATTTTGCGGAACGATTCTCCAAAGGGAGTTACGGACCATTTAATCTTAGCATAATTCTTTCCCGGGGAAACGACTGTTTTTTGTAATATTCAATAAGCGAACCACGCATCTAGAGATTAGAGGATAATGACACATAAATACACTGCACGACGCCAACGCTCGAGCAGCTTGTCGATTCCATAGTCCCAGAAGGACGGGGGCTGGGACCCGAAGAAGGCCACAATGCCACACAATCACCACTGTGACATGGTTTTGCACAGGTAATTGTGCGGCACTGTAGCCTGCAAATGCAGGGTGGGTGGTGGTAAGCTAGGCGCTGTGAAAAGTATCATGAAGGTCAGCAACGTGATGACGAAATACCATCCTCCATGCAAACGAAATAGGGAAGGATCAAAGCAGGGAGGGAAAAACTTATGCAACAACCTAATAGTAAGTCAGTTGACATCTCCTAAATCATTATTCGGTACCACTGCCCAAGAATCGCAACTGTGGAATGTGACTTTAAGTCTCACGTAGGATAATTGACTGGAAAGGAGGTTTTTTTTGGGAAAAGATTTTCTGGCAGTCCGAGTTGTTTTTTCTTGTCAATGAAATTTTATTTCAGGCCGCCTCTTCGAAGACGTAATTGCCCAGTGCTATATTACCTCATCATTATCTCATAAATGTCTATCATAATCAAATATATTTCCTTGCTGTGACAACAACTGAAAGTACGTTGATATTACATTCGTGAACTGATAGTGGCTGCGATAATGTACAGTAGCAAGAAAAACCTGGAATCGTTAGATCTTCAGTAACTTGTGTACGGAAATTTCAGACAGATATGCCAAGAACGCCTACTGCTCGACGTTTGGCCTGAGCGATATGTAGAGAAAGGAAACTAAGCGACTCGGTTGGATGGCCCCCCCCCTCCCCTCACTTTGGGATTTTTCTGATAGGAGGGTGTTATAGAATATAAATATAGAAAATAGGCATATAAATCGTCAGGTTTCAAAGTACATTAAAATCCTAAGATCTCTAAAAGGGACCCAAAACGTGTCGTCGACCGGCTATTTACAATAGTAAGAATAAAGAGTATAAAACCGAGAGAAACGCTCAAAATAAAGTTCCAGTGCTGAATCAGCCGTCGAAATAAGCGAACCGGACTGATAAGCGTGTGGAGGACCAGAGAAAAAGGTAACTGGAAGGTGAGCGAGATGAAAGACCCGCTCTCATAGAAAATGTTGGGGTCCCATTCATAAGAAAACAACGGGTCATATCTCTCTATACATTCCATATCCTGCAGGTGTGGAGGGCGTGGCTACATACCTCGTTCGTAGCGGTGGCTGCCCTTTGAAGGTATGCCATCTTGGGACATTTAATCAGGTCTACATCCAATACGGAACAGAGGACAGTTGCAAGCAGAATTACCAACGAAAAACGCATCTGCGCCATGATCATGAAGTTCGCAGTCACGCTACACCATCTGCTAGTTCTGGAGTGCATTTCGAAATAGGACCGGTGGCACATCTCAACTAAAAGGGGTGGAGCTATTTTTACGGGCGATGCCCCCACGGCTACACCGACCCCGTCACTCGTTATGGAGCCACGGAAGCAGGACATTATGTCAACTCCGAAAAAAACTCTATGTACAAGGAAGAAATTTCACGAATCAGGTAATCGAGGAATGTGCCCTGAAAAATCGGCGAAATGATGGCGCTAGTCCAGCACTACGGACCACATTGTAATGCCAGGTTAACATACAGAAGGGCCTTTTTGCTAAGTTGTGTAGAGCCCTGCAAACGAGAGGTAGGCAACCACATCTCACCAAGGGCTAAAATTTTTTCGCGTAAGGATCTACTTCACTCACGCAGAAGCTTTTGATCCCTTAGCTCAAAGCAATATCATTAGCTCACGAACTTATGTCCCCCCCCCTCTCTCCACCACAAAATACCACCCATGCCAAGACTATGTTCGAAGAGAGGGCGGGGAAACGGAAACTGGCGGCCTTGCAGAATTTTATGTACTTCTCTTCGCAATTACCAACATGACCCGTTTCATTACACCAACGCCAAGAAATAGATTACATTGCTTTCAACTACCTTTTTTTGAGCGTCGAAGAAGTAGTCACATATTGATCGATGAATAACTGCTTTCCAATGCTTTTCAAGGATCACATCACTGAAATATCGTCATGCGAATCGTTCACTAGGGCCAAACCAAAATCATAAAACTAGTATCTCTGAACTAATGTACTTACCCGGATGTGTTTACAATAAACAAGCTATTCAGCATATCATATACACCTCAAAATTCCTCTCTGAAATATCAAACAAATGCAAATGAGAATCGATGAAAAAATAGAAATCAGTAACACACGAAAACAAAAAAAAACTCAAACGAAACAAAAAAAGAATTCAAGGTGGCACCATATTAAAAGAGTACACATAATGGTCTGCAGATATAGATAAATTAACCACATCTTACTAATCAAGACGCATTCATTTATTACCTCAACAACGAGCTACTCCGATTTCTTAAATCAATATAGCGCACAAAGCGCGCTCCGCTGTGAGTATGCGCCCGAGTTCTTACGCCCTTTAAATTTGCAAGTTCGTGCAGCTTCATCGCTTCTCTGCTTTTATTTGGTTCTTTAAAATTATAATTTCAATGCTTAAGCGAGATCGATTAGAGGTAAGCCTTCTGACGTGTTTAATGAGCAATTTTTACAGGATGGCTTCCGCTATCCGCCTCGCGGGGTCACATCTTCGTGAGTTACGCATACACCTTTGCCAGAAGAGCCCTGCATCAGGTAAATTGGCATGTTTACCACACTATTCTTTTTTAAATTTTGCCTTCTATGATCGGGTGGAAGCTCGTAAAACTTTTCCGAGATAGATTAGTATAACAAATCTGAGGCTAGCTTGTGCCGGTACCCCTAGTATTTCTTCTAGATTGGTAAGTTAATCTGTACGTTCCCCATGACTTTCGTTTCTTCTCTGAGTCATTAATCAAATA